ATTCTTTCATTGTTATACAATCCTTCCCAAGTCCACTCCACTATGCAGTCTTCTTTCTGGACTCCTGTCATGACAATAATATCTAATAATATATCCCTTTTAAACAGTTCTCTCCCTCATATGTTTCAATGCAGTATACATTATTTATCCCCTCTTTCTCAGTGTTCCCCCCAACCACTATGTCAGTCCTCTTTTATAACAGTGGCATTATGCAATATTTGTCTTTTTGTGACTGAGATATTTCACTCAGCATAATGTCCTCCAGGGTCACTCATTTTGTATATTTCATGAGTTCCTTGTTTTTCAATGCAGCACAGTATCCCATTGTGTGAATATACCACAGCTTCTCTATCCATTTGTTTGTTGATGGGCACTTAGGTTGTTTCCAACTCCTTGCTATTGTTACTCCATGCTATTTGTTACTCCGTGAACAAAGCCGAAATAAACATGGATGTGCATATACCTGCTTGGGTGGCAGTTATAGTTTCTTTAGGGTATATTCCCAGTAGTGAAATTGCTGGGTCAAATGGTATTTCTATTTGCAACTTTTTGAGAAAGTGCCATACTGCCTTCCATAGTGGTTGCACCGTTTTACTTCTTCTCTATCTATTCCCAACTTTTGCATTCCAGTCACCCTTTATTATCAATGCATCTTGATTGCATGTTCGATCGATCTCCTACTGTAAAAGTTGGTAAAAAAACCCACGTTATCTTGCTGTGGTGCTAGATTATTTTCTAAATTCTAGATTTAAGTCCCTTATCTGACATGTCATTACCAAATATTATTTCCCCATTCTTTGACTTCCCCTTTTACCCTGTTGGAGAAGGTTTTGGATGTGCATAGGGATTTGATTCTTAGAAGGTCCCATCATCTATTTTATCCTCTCCTGGTTGTAGATTTTTCAGGATGCTTGGAAGACGGTTTATGTTGTGAATTAGGATTTCTAGAGTTCTTCCAAGGTTTTCTTTAATGAAGTTTGTAGACCTTGGTTTTAGTCCTTGGACCATGATTCACTTTGAGTTGGTTTTTGTGTATGGAGTGAGGTGTGGATCTTGTTTGAGTTTTTTTGCTGACAGTTTTCCAATTTTGCCAGCACCATTTGTTAAAAAGGCGATTGTTTCTCCTCTTGACTGATTTTATCTCCTTGTCAAAAAAATCAGTTGACCATAGGTAGATGGGCTGATTTCTGGATTCTCCATTCTATTCCATTGATCTATATGTCTGTCATTGTTCCAGTACCACATTGTCTTGACCACCACGGCAGTGTAGTAGGAATAGTAAAAATGTTGTACTTGGAAAAGAAGATAACATCTCAGGTGCTGCTGAAGGATTTTTCCAAGTTGCTTCAGGTTTACTTTCTCTCTGTGATTATTTTTAAATAGTGCACCACATTGTGAGCTGCACTGTTTTGTGCATAACCACAAGAGATTCTGAAGCCATGACAGACTGTGATGGAACCAGTTGACAGTTCAGCCAGACATTGATACTGACTGTTGGCACTCAGCTCTTCCATATCCAAGTCAATATGTTATAGTAAAACCTTGCTCCATAGCAATTCCACTAAGTAGCTGGACATACTTCATTCTTGAAATAATGAAGAGGCTTCTTTTCAGTGAGATGATCTTTTCACCAGGAGAATTCCTTAAGGAGTGCCAAGTACATCCTAAAGAATGCCCAAATACATTTGGTAAAGAAATGTGGTTGTCTGGAGAAACATTACTGAATTTGACAAGAAATTTCTCAGTTGCATTTCTCTTGGCCTGGTTTTTGGATGCCCCTTTTCCAGTTTCCGTAATGCCTCGAGCCTGCGTATTGTGGCGTACTCACTCTTATGAGCAGGTTCCCCTCCTCTTGGGAAAGCATATACTCAGGAAGTCTCCAGCCATGATGCATAACTAATTCCTGTGATGAATCAGTAGGATTACACTGGTTCTGTTTGCATGAAAGGGTCAGGCATTAATGGGTCAGGAACTGCAAAGCAAATACTTGCCTTGGTTTTTAAGAAGGTTATGGCAGCTTCTGCAGCTGTGTTTCCCCAGCTTCTTACTTGTCCCTTCCCCTGTGCAGGCTTTGTCATCAACACTAACTCTTGAAAGTCAAAGTGGACACACGCACTTAGACATCAGATCTTTCACATTCATAAACTGTGATGTTCTTGGTCTTCGTGCTATATTCATGTAACACCTAGACTGGAGTTTCCCCTGGCTTTATTGTTGAAGGTCCTTCTGTCCTCATGCTTCAGCAGACAGCAGAGGGGCTGTGGCACGATGCCTGCTTGGGGACATGACAAGAAGGCATGACTTGGCAGAACAAGAAAGAGCAGTGCCAAGTGATGTCCTGGCTCTGCTCATACCCAAGAGGGTGGACAGAGCTGTATAAATCTTGGGGGTTTTTATTAAGCATGCATTCATTTTCACTCAGAATGTCATCCAAGTCGTTGGATGGATGCCATGTGCAAAGCTCTTTAGTTAATAAGAGTATTTGTGTGTATGTCTGTGTGTGTGTGTGCACATACATGCACACATGTGCGTTGAAGGGAGACGTCTACTGGGCACATAACACCATGTCCTTGTCCTTTTAACAACTTCTTTGAAGAAATTGTAACTGCTATGCCAAAAGCCGTGTGCTACTTGCATCATTCAGTATTGCATGATCAGATGAAATGAGCCCTAAGAATTGCAGCACTTAACTCAATGATTGAACCACACTATAGGTTCCATAATCTCTTTCACCATGTGAGGTTAAGGTTGAAATTGGGCAGTTTATTGTATCCATGAGGAAAAGTATTTACAAGCTTCAGGAACACAACTTGTGAACACCAACCAAATGTAAGCATTGAGCTTATGCTTCTTAAAACTTCATCCATTCTTCAAGACTTAGGTCAAATACCACTTGCTTTAAGAAGTCTTCTCTGATACCTACAGCCCAAAGTAATGTCTTCTCCATTTGATTTAACAATTATCATATAATATCTATTTTTATTGCAATAATACCTATTTTTATTTACGTTGCAAGGAGAGACCAGTCCTTGGAGGACTTCATGCTTGGGAGGGTGGAGGGACAGCGCAGGAAAGACCCTCTATGAGGTGAACTGATTCAGTGACTGGGGTAATGGGGGTAGGTGTGTCGGAGATAGTGAGATTGGCACAGGATAGAGCAGGGTTTAGGGCTATTGTACATAGGGTCGCTATGAGTCACAGGCAACTCAACAGCACATAACAACAATATTAATTTTTATCCAGTTTTCTTAATTCAAGTTGCTTCACTTGGGTCACACATCAACATAAGGAAAACAAACACTCCTCACAACTGGACCGATAAGCAACAGCATGATAAATGGAAGGAATATTGATGTTTTCAAGGATTTCTTTTTACTTGCAACCACAACTCAATGCCCATAAAAGCAGCAGTCTAAGACAATTATTGTAGAAACAGAAGGATAACTAGTAAAACATTTATGGAGACTCAAGGGGGGAAGGGAAAGAGGTGGGAGCAGAGGAGGTGAGTGAGGATGGGTAGGGGCAAAACCACAAGGTTGTAGTTTGGTGGGGGGAGAGAAGGGGAAAAGGAAATGAGAAACATCTAACGTTGGTGACCTGAAAAGACAGGGTAATGGTGGGCACGGGCCAATGGTGATTAACTTTATAAAACATAATGCATGGGAATGAATGTATGAAACACAATGTGAATGAAGAATAGTGTGAAAAGCAATGTATATGAACTTTGTAAGCAAATCAATATAAAATAAAAATTAAAAAGGAAATCAAGTTAACTTATTGCATTGAGCAAATCTGTTGCAGAAGACTCATTTAAAGTTTTGCAGTCAAACATTCCGTCCTGTGGATACAAAATATATTTTAGGGCACTATGTTTATCATAAGAGTAGGGAATGAGGGTTGCAGAGTGGATTATATTTGGGGTTGGGGGATGTGTGGGGGCGATTGTGTACCAATGAGGGAGTTTTTCTTTTGCTTTTCAAGGAGAGGAGCAAAGGGGGGGGGCGGAGAAAAGGGTGCAACAATGAATGAACGGAATTCCAAAATCTCTGTAGATGTTCATTGAAATTAAAAATAAATAAATTAATAAAAAAATGATCATGGCATTTTGCACAAACTATTTCTAGACTAACTTTATATTGAGACTATTATACTAACACCAAAAGAAACTTGTGATGTTTAATGGTCATGAAATAAAGGATTCCTTGTCTGCAGTAGAACAATACTTCAAGGGAATAGTCTTAATATTTTTATACTACAAAAAAATGATCGTTGCCTTTTCATCCAATGGCAAAAACCTGTTAACAAGTTCTATCTACAATCTATTTAATGAATAAGGTTAAAATAAGTTACTTACAAAACACTAATCTTTTAAAATTTTAAAAATGTTTCATCAGCTAATATAGATTATACTGAAAGACAAATTCTGAAGTAAATGAATTAGCCCAAGTGGGGTATCAGAAACTCTAAAATTTTGCTTTTCTATCCATTGTGTTAGCCCCTGTTGGGGCATGGTCTCCAACTACCTTAACTGCAGACATATGGTCTTGCAAATCAATAGCTATGGGACCAATATAAGAGAATGCTTTCCACACTGTAGAAAATGGAGGTGGGCAGAGAGTGGTGAAGACTGGCACCTTTTAAGACTTTTTCTTTTTTTAAAAAAAAAGATTTATGCTTTATCTTGTAACATTTTTATATTCACTGCCTTTCTCAGGTTTAGAAAAAGTAAATCACAATTTATTAAGCTGGAATGTATGCTATTTTATTTTCTGAATGTAAACTGTTAGGTAGAGTCAGAAAGCAGGAAAAGATAACAAAGAAGGATAAATGGACCTGAGAAACAAAGGGAGTAAGAGGGAGAGTACTTTCACAAGGTGGGTATCCACAGCAGGAAATATAATCCCTACAAAGGGAAACCCAATCTGCTTGATAAACTGATTCATCACAACAGTAAGTCTTTTAAAAAAGAAGATATTAGGGAGAAATGAGAATCAGAGTCATTTTCATTTGAATATATATTTTTATTTAGAATGTAGCACTAACACCATGATGATAAACTGTCACAAATTTGTACCAAGCAGCACATAATCCTTGAAGTGTATTGTTTTTCCACGAGAATTTTAAGTAGAGCATTATTATTATTTGGTACTACAGTCAAAGACGACATTTAGATTCTTCAGGTTTTCGGCATTTGGTAACATCAATACCATGATCTAGTCAGGCTGAAGAAAGAAACTCAAAAGCTTGTTCCTTCTCTTCTGTCAGTTCCTTTGCAGTCAGATCCATCTTCTCACGTGAGAAATCATTAACAGTGAGGCCTTCCACAATCTTCCAGGTCTTATTCTGTTCAAAAATAATTGCAAGTAAGAAATTTATGATTAGGTTACAGTTGATTTTCCATAAGATTTGATTGAGAGCTATTCCTGTGCTACAGTTTGATTCTAAATAAACAAAAATTCAGATCTTAAGTAACTTAATGAGTAACTCTGCTAACAGTTCTACACTTGTATTTACAATCCACTGAATTTAGAAAAAGCATTAAAAAGGCTTTAACTGTTGTTATGTGCCTTGGATTTGGAACCCACTCACAACTGACCGTGAGCGAGTTTTTCAGAGACTGTAAATGACTAGAGGAAGGAGACTGTCTATCCCTCTTCGTCAGTGCAGCTAGTGGATTTGACCTTTTTTGTCTTTGGGTTGCCAGTGCAATTTCTTATCGACAAGGCCACTAGAGCTCAACGAGTAGGGCTTTAATTAGAGAGTATAAAAAATGACTTTAGCACAGTTGTTATGAAGAGAAATAATACTTAAAACTGTTTCACTTAGAAGGAAGGTATTCTTACATTTTGGAGCTATTTTGTAGTCACCTGACTGGGGAGAGTTGTGGACGAGTTCTGTTTTGCTTTTCACATTTATTCCAGTATACACACAGACCCAGACACACGCACACACCACATACGCACACTAGTGTGTGTGTGTGTGTGTGTGTGTATATATATGTTTCAAAATGGGGAAATCTGTCCAATTTAGTAAAGGACAACGTACTCAAAGAGTAGGGAGCTCTGGTGGCCTAGTGGTAAGAAGCTGTGCTGCAATTCTGAAGGCCCGTGGTTTGAATCCACCAGCTGCTCTGCAGGAGGATAAGCAGTCTCCTGCTATACAATTAACTGCCTCTGAAGAGGGTCAGCTAGGGGTTTGTTCTGATTTGACGATACACAACAGCAACAACAACTACTCAGAGAAACCCCACGGAAGACCCTTACCTTGATTACAACCGGGAATGAGTAGAGCAGGTCGTCAGGAACACCATAGGGGTTGCCATCTGAGATCACGCCCATGGACACAAACTCACCCTGAAAACGATGACATTTTACATTTTCATGACACATGACAATTAGCTCAACGTGACTCACTCCTGGACTAACAAAACTAAGCCAGCCACCACTTTCAAATGTCCTTACTGAGTAAGGAACCATCACCCTGCACTTCTCTACAAGAAAAATATTATCTACGTCTATGTTATCTCTATATGTTATTGTTGTTATGTGCCATTAAGTTGCCTGTACATAGTGACCCTATGTACAACAGCCCTAAACTCTACTCTGTCCTGTGCCAATCTTATTGTCTCTGACACGCCTATCCCCATTATCCCAGTCACTGAATCAATCCATCTCATTGAGGGTCTTCCTCTCTTGTGCTGGCCCTCCACCCTTCAAAGTATGACGTCCCTCTCCAATGACTGATCCCACCTTGCAACATGTCCAAAGTATGTAAGACAAAGCTTCAGAATCCTTGGCTTCACCCTCTCCAGGATTATGTATATATAGTCAGAGAAATGATCTCATTCTTCTTTCAACCCATGAGTAAAGTAGGCAGAGGAAATAATCTTGTTTTCTAAGTGAGACAGCTGTGGCCCAACACAGGTTGCAAAAGGGAAAAAGCCACCCTTACTGTGTGCCAGACATTGGGCAAAATGTGTTCCATTCAGAATCTTTCGGACCTCACAATGCTCTGAGGTAAGAGCCAGGGAAATGAGATGAGGAAACAGCTCATGGGAGGAAGGCTAAGGAACGTTCCCAAGGTTCTTGGCTAGTAGCCAGCTAAGCTAGAATGGTGGCCTAACGGGTGTGACAAAGACAAAATCCAGGCCAGTGGCCTGAGCAAGTCACTGTGCTTACCTCTGGGGTTCCAAACCAGATGTCCCTGATGTGGTCGCCGATGGCTTTGGCTGCAGACATCGCGCTGGACAACTTCCGGGCCTTGATGACGGCAGCGCCACGCTGCTGCACAGTCTGGAGGGGGCAGGAGAGACAGGCGTTAGTGTTATAACAAGGGAACCGAGATGCTTCTAAGTGGGGATGGCTGATTCCATAGCTTAATGCGTCCCCAACATAATCAGGTAATGACCCAATGTCTGTGCGGCCTCCTCCGTTTACAGTCCCCACTCTTTTCCAATGGAGAAAACTCTGTAACCTTAATCCATTTATCACAGTTTGAACAAAGACACGGATCTCTGAATAAATGCAATCAATAGTTAAAGAGTACTCTAATTTTGTTCCACTGTAGCAATCATTCTTGATTTCCACACAAGAGATGAGGTAACCACATCGGATCGGATCATGACTGGCTTACGAGGTCCTCAAGAGACAGCATGAAGCTAAGCAACATTGAAAGACCTCTCACTTGGATGAGAGACATTCAGGTGGACAAACTGATAGGCATGTTTCTAGAGATTTCTTTAGGCTTGGCAGTTCAGAGGGCCCACAGGTTTTCTTACCGTGATGAACTCTCCCTTAAGCCAGCTGTCGTCTTTGAGAGCTTCATAGATACCAACTTCTTTGCCTTGAATTTTCACTTTGCCATGGTTGACGTCTGGATATTGGGTGGAGGAATGGTTTCCCCAGATGATGACATTCTTTACATCTTTAGCAGTTACACCAAGTTTAAGAGCAATCTAGGCAAATTAAAATAGATATATCACTTGGACAGAGCTTTTTATTCCAAATTATTATGTTTACCCTTAACTAAACCACTTGTCTTTGAGATTGCAGTGCAGTTTTCATCACTAGGCCACCAGAGCTGAAGACCAAAAGGAGCTCTGGTGGCCTAATGATAAGAAGCTGTGCTGCAATCCCAAAGGCACTTGGTTCAAATCCACCAGTCGCTCCGTGGGAGAAGGATGTGCAGTATCCTCTCACGTCACTTACTGCCTCTGAAAACCTGCTGGAGGGTCGGTTCTGACTTGAAGGTACAGAACAACAAAAATAACAACACAGATAAAAAACCTTCTAAAACATCAATAGAACATGAGCATTATTTTGATGTATAAAAAATGCAACCTGTACTACCCACTAATATTCAAGAATAGCTTAATAATGAAAGCAAACAGTGAACACAGAACAAAGGGTACAATGTTTAAAAGTAGAGATTTTCCTAGAGGTTGTGATTAACTTATTAGTACAATAAGTTCATCAAATATAAAAGAACCAAAAGGTTAATATTTCTTGAAAAACATAATTATTACCTTTGTTAAGACTTAACTGGCAACTCCCTAGGGCTGTGGAGCAATCAGTTTTACCTTTTTCCAAATTTAGTGACCCTCCTGTACTTAGATCCCTACATAGAATTTTTATTAGATATCTTCTGTTTGCCACAGGGCAAAGATGGGAGATCTCCTCCTATGTGATTTATAGTCTAAAAATCCAATTGAGGGTCAGATATGAGTTTGTTTTGACTCTAAGTATATATAATTCATCCTTTCCAATGGGTAAGTACAAAATGTGTGTCTTGGAAGAAATGTAGCCAGAATGCTCCTTAGCAGTGAGGATGGTGAGGCTTCCTCTCCCGTCGTTGGAGCACTGTTATCAGGAGAAGCCAACGCCTGGAGAAGGAAATCATGCTTGGTAGAGATCAGGGGGAAAAGAGGGAGATCCTCAAATAAGATAGACTGGAGTTCAGAGTTTATCTTTCAATGACTTCCTAGCCATTGCCTGACTTGACCATGTGAACAGGCGGGAATATGCAAATAGGGCAAGTTAGTCTATTCACAAGGGCACTGGCTATCTCACCAATCCACACGGGACTGGCCAGTCTCACCAACCATGTAGATTGGTGACTGACTAGTCTCGCCATTAAACTGAGTAATACAGCAGCAGGAAGAGGATCATCTTCCCCATTATAGCATTCCCACCATCACAAAATTACAGATGTTCTTAACTGGTTGCCAAAGGTTAGAAAAGGGAGAAGGTGGCTATCAGGACGCAGGACGAATTAGTTCTTCGGTGATGGGGGAACAATTCAGATTCTCGACTTTGAGGTTGATTACAGGCATCTATGCGTGTGATTAAATGTCATAAAACCATTTACAAACACATATAAAAAATGAACAGGAAACAGATGACATCTGAGTTAGTATAATTAATGGTGTACTGTATGGCATTTAGTCAATCCTTTGCTTTTGATAGTAAGGCGATGGTACATGCGACTGCTCTCCACTGTTTTTATCACTTCATTTCAGTTTACAATTATTCCAATGGAGAAAAAGAAAACAAAAGCAAAAGTTATCAAACAAAATTATCTGATTGGTTTACAATGGCTTGATTCCACACTCATTTACTCAGTCACTAAACAAATTTTTACTTTAATCCATTCAAGACTGAATTACCTTGTTTTACATTTGTGGTTGAAACTATGTTTTGACTTTAAATAAAATGAAAACCATGGAAGGCATTTTGAATGAAAAAAAGGAAATCCTTTTTTTTTCCTCTTAGTAATAGATTTTGATACAATTATTGTCGTTGTTGTGAACCATCAAGTCAGAGCCAACCCTTAGCTGACCCTCCAGTGGGTTTTCAGAGGCAATTAATTGCACAGGAGGAGACTGCCCATTTTTCTCTTATGGAGCAGCTGGTGGATTTGAACCAAGTGCTTTGGGATTGCAGAACAGTTTCTTACCACTAGGCTACTAGAGCTCCTATTTGATACAGGGTCTCTGGGTCTGGTGTTTGTCGGTGAGGTCCATTTCTTCAGGTTCATACTGTTACACAGATGGCATCCTGCACTAAAAGTGGGAGATGGTTTGACACAGCACCAAAGACAGAGAATGTCGGTGGGCACTATACGACCCACAGGTCTGCTTCCCATAGGGGAAGCAGAATCCTTACACAAAACTGAGACCAATTTCTTATATCCTAAAATAGTTACAGGATTTAAAAAAAAATAAAAAAATTCTGCTTGTGCCATCTTCAATCCCTGCTGATAAAATCTCTGCTTTATCTGTTGTTATGTGCTGTAGCGTCAAGGACGACCCCCTTGTGAACAGATCTGAACCCTGCCCTGTTCCGCACCACCATCGCCATCTCTAACACCCTGTGTCCACGGCTGCAGTCACCTGTCAGTCTATGTCGTTTAGTGTCTTCCCCTCTCTCACCGACCCTCTACCTTGCCAAACATGATGTCCCTTTCCAAGGAACGGCCTCTCTGAACAACACGCCCAGAGCACGTGAGAAGAAGCTTCGTCACCCTTGCTTCCAAGAAGCGCTCTCCCTGCGTCTTCTCCCAGACACACCTGTTCGTCCTTTGCGCAGTCCGTGAGATATTCAGTACTTTTCTCTAACACTACAACTCAAAGGCATCAATTCTTCTGTCATTCTTAGTCACTGTCCAGTTCTTAGATGCAGAGCAAGTGACCAAAACAGACCACGGCTTGAATCAAGTGCACTTTCAACATCACTGCTCCCCAGTACTTTGGAGAGGTTCTTGACCACCGACTTTCCCCAATGCACCTGTCTCTTGATTTCTTGACTGCTGGTGAAACAGATATTGATTTTGGACACAAGCAAGATGAAACTGTTGACAATTTTAGTGTTTCTCCCTCTATCATGATCTATCACCCTGGCACTAAGGTTTTATATTTTCTTGATATTTAGATGCAATCCATGTTGAAGGCTGTAGTCTCTGATCGCCTGCAGCAAGCATTTCAAGTTCTCCCCCATTCCAGCAAGCAAAAGTTGTGTCATCTGCATAACACATGTTTTGGGGAGTCTTTCTCCAATCCTGATGTTCTTCAATTTCTCAAATAATTTGCTGAGCATACAGACTGAGGAAGGATATAGCCCTGATGCACACCTTTCTTATGCTCTAAACCATTACGTATTCGCTCGCTCTATCTGTTCTAGGTATAAGTTTCATATGAGCACGATTGTTCTGGGATATCCATTTTTCTCAATGTTAGTCATAGTTTGTGATGACCCACACAGACCCCAACAAGTTATTAGAACAAATAATTACTCTTACTAGCTAGTCTTTACAAATTAGTTGGATGGCTGGTTCCTGGGGCTGGGTATTGAGCTGCCTGGCCTGTAGGGCAGAGTGGTGTGAGCATCATTTTCTAGGTCTGCCATGGGCTGAATAGATTTGGGAAGAAGTGCCTAAACTTATTTTTAACTGGCATTACATAAAAAAGAAAAGAAAACAAAAAAAAAAGAAAGAAAAAAGGGAATTTAAATCTGAGACAATTAATTGAAAAGAAATATTACAAAGAACTTAGAACCCAAGCCTCCCCTGGCTATCAGCATCAACTGCTCCTAAGTGTGAAGGAAGCGGTGGGGCGTCTTCCCTCCACACACCTCCTCGGTTCTGCCTTCTTCCTCTAACACCCTCTCTTCTCCCTTGTCCTTTGATCTCGTGGGCTAACCCAATTCTACCTGGACAGCAAAGTCCAAGTACTTTGTAGTCAAGAGACAGAGCTTCTAAATACCCTTCAGATCAGAGCTTGTCTACATGAATAGATTTACCCTTCTTCTCTTTGCCACTTTCATCCAGATCTGCTCACTGGTTTGGGCCTTACTGTTCCGCCTGTGCTATGAACCAGTTGGATTCATTGCCAGATGACCTGTCAGTGGACATTACGGCAGCTCTGCATTACACACACACAAGGGGGTTCTGCAGGGTGCTAAGAAGCCAGGAGGGAGTGAAGTCCTTTGAATTCTAAAACAAGTTATGATGGCCTAGGAATCATTCAAAGAACAACAGGAATTTCTGGGCTTATTATTTGCCTCACTAGACGAACAATGCTAAAGGGGGGGGGGGGGGAATGCTTCTTGAAAGGCTCTAACTGTGCCAGGGTAACATGGGAAAACGGGGCCTAGGCCAGTGGCCGGCGAGTAACAAAGGACATGAGTCAGCAGTGGTGCAGAGAGACGGCTTTCTTCCTTCCTCCCAAGTTCAGACCAGCGCGCCAGCCCCCTCAACAAGGTACGGGGGCAAAAATGTCATTTAGGAGCACTTCTGAAAGAAAATGAGGTTTAGTACTTGCTCTATGAAGGCCAAAACAGGTCTACCTAGCTCTCATTTCACTCCATGTAGGAGATAATACATATCCTCTGGTCAGTCACAGTCTATGATGGCCATCTGTTCCTTCATGGCTGCCCCAGAGGATCCTCATTCCCTGCCTCTTGTCATACCTGCTCCCAATCCTTCCCCGATACCCGTGGACATAAGGACACCCCACCCCCCTGCCCCACCCCGCCCTAACTCAAAAACGTCTAGCCCAAAGGTAGAGGTCTGTTAGGGAACACTTTGCATTGTCAGGTTATTACTCACTGAACTGGGACGTTCACAGATGCTATTTCTGAGCCTTGGTTTTTTTTCAAGTCCAGGTGGTACCCTTTTATATCATCATCATCGTCGTCACCACCACCACCCAGGTATGATAACAACGGCTAACATTTGTTGAACTTTACAGTGTTACATAAAGGCTTAACATGAATTCTATGTCATTTCTTATTATTCTTAAAATAACCCGATGAGGTAGAAACCATGACTATTCTTTTATAATCTGAAGAAGCGTATTTTCTCAAGGTCACAGACTAATACATGAATGTAGGCCACTTGATACCATTAGGTAAGAACACACACTACGGAGTCAGGAGTCAAGGTAAGTGGCATCAACAATCCTTCTAGCTACCATGGTTTAAGCAAGTTTCTGGACCTCTCTGAGCCTCAAGATTTCTAACTTGTAAAATTGTTGCTGTTGTTATGTGCCGCTGAGTTGCTTGAGACTCATAGAAACCCTATGTACAACAGCCCTAAACCCTGCTCTGTCCTGTGCCAATCGCACCGTCTCCGATACACCCATCCCGATTACCCCAGTCACTGAGTCAATCCATCTCATAGAGGGTCTTCCCCTCCTGCACTGTCCCTCCACCCTACCAAGCAAGATGTCCCTCTACAAGGACCGGTCCCTCCTTACAACATGTCCAAATTATGTTAGATGAAACCTTCAGAATCCTTGCCTCCAAGGAGCAGCCTGGTTTGACCCATTCCAGGATGAATCTGTTTGTTTTCCTAGCAGTCCATGGTACCCTCAATACTATTCTCCAGCACCACAGCTCAAAGGCATCAATTCTCCTTCTATCCTCCTTAGACATTGTCTAACTCTCTGATGCATAACAAGTGATAGCAAGACCATGACCTGTATCAGACGAATAGCTAAGAGGTATTAAGCAACTGCATTTAATTATCCCTAACAATAGAATTACAGGTGAAAATAAAGTAGGAAGAATCCAGTGTCTTGTCCATTTAAGGGATCCTTAACAGGGATGACAATATCAACCAAAAAAAGCACAAAGGCAACACTTTAAAGGCCAACATACTTAAGGTTGAAGAGGCAATCTCCTTACTTGTGCCATTGCTCGGTTATGATCCAAACGGGTCAAGCAGCTGAAGTTCTCCTTGGGGATGGACGGGGCTGACTTGATGGCGGTCAGACAGTTAGTATTGGCTGGGTTTCCCACCACGATGACCTGGGGTGTGAGCGAGTTGAAGAAGAATTACAAACTGGACTGAGACTGATGAAAACACACTAGAACAACTGCGTTCACATATAATCTTTGTGAGAAATTGGTATGAGATAAAAATATATAATTACCATTGTTTCTAGTAGGTTTCTAACATTCCTTTCAAAAAAATTTTCTACTTTGTTAGTGTTTGGAGTTAATGGCATTTATTTATTTTTTTAATACCTTTACTATTTTTTCATTCACACTGTGTTTCATACAATCATTTCCACACTTCATGTCTTTAAAAAAATTTTTTTTAAAGGGGAGAGTGTAAATGCTGTCCCCCACTATCACAAATTACGCAGTCAAGTTTCCCACATTTGGGGAAATCGCAGGGGTCAGCACATCTGGAGTGCAATGGATGAACCTCACCCTGGGAAAACTACCTTCGTGTTCATGATACCTCCCTGCCAGGTAAAACTTGTGTCTTATAAAAAGAATCATCATTGATCTATGCCCACTGCATCTTTACTAATTTCCTTCATAGAGGAGGCATGTGATTTATACGATCACTTCCCAGGTAGCAATGGTGAGGAGATAAGGCACATGCCCCCTGCTTTGCAGTGCCAGATGAAAACACAGGGTCACAAAACACAAGCTGTCTAATGTCTAAGTCTCTATTTTAGAGTTTGATTCACGTATGAAATTTTCCTTTTTCAGGGCAATGTTTTGCTTCTGTGGACTAAAAGAGTTTCTTAAATTTGCCAAATCCCAAGAATTACCTGCCAATTCTGTTAAAATCCTAACTACTAAACCCCATTTAGACCTCTCAAATAAATTTTTTTTAGGAGAAAATTATTTTAAGCAGTTTTTTGTACTAGGGTGCTCTAGGATATAGAATGTCTGTATGGACTTTCTGTGGTTTTTTTGTTTGTTTTGGTTTTTTTAAGCATAAAAAAAATCTAAAACAAGCAAACAAACAAACAAACCAAAAAATCCAAACCATAAAATCCACCCCCTATTTCATAATAATTTCAAATTAATTAGTCCTGCAAGTACATGAAAGGAGATTGATTTCCAAATCTCCTTTACTCAGAATTCTTCAAATTTGTCCTTCTTTCTATCTCGGTGTGCTCAGCACATACAAACTGTCCTCGGCCTTTTGATACATTTGAGAGTAAGTTGTAGACATGACATTTATTCCTTTGCCCCTTGTCAGTGATGGTTCTCAAAAGCAACATTTTTCCTGGGTAGAGGATGTCTGTGTGAGAACTACCACAGCCCCAAGCAGCCCGAGTTTTAGTCACCCAAAACTTTAGTCTCTTTCCTAAAAGATCTGTGGATTTCGACTCAACTCACTTCTCTTAATAGTCAAAGAAAATGAAAGCTAACTTTTTAAAATGAAGTCCACAGGAAGGAGAAAACTGTGAAATCTCATAATCAGCAAAACAAGGTAATTTTCAGCTCTATAAATAGTTTATTTTTTTTTAAGTTGGAGTAAGAAGGAAGAAGTTATCAGTAAAACACAGTAAAATGTCTAACCAGCAGACCTCTTTGCTGTGGCGTTAATGCAGTTAATTGGTAAAAGGAGGGGCTCACTCATAACAGTCATTTTTAGAATCCCCTGCCTGGTGAGCCAGCTTACATACACAGAGAGGCAAAACAGAAGGTCAGACTGTGTCAACCTCCTCAGGAAATAAGCCCATTAGAATCCCCCTGGACTAAGAAAAGCTGAGCAATTAGTTACCACCACCTGCGCTGTCTACAACAAATGCCACTTCTAGTCATTTCCCTCCATAATCATACAGACAGACCCAAAAAAATCCAAAGGTGAACTAATGCGCCGAGAGAGCTCAACACGCGGAGGCAAACGCACCACCAAGTTCTGGGCTTCTCTTCAGGTTTAAGAACCAATACTAAGTTTACTTAGTGTTTATAATAGGCACGCCTCAAAACAAACTTCTAGCTACAGAAGAAAGAAAAAGAGAAAGGCAGAGCTTAATCAAGCAGAACTCTCTGTATATCTGACCACTGTACAGAATGGAACCGAAAAAACAACAATAACAAAAAAGGGTATGATAACGGTTTTCACCTCAAATGGAAATTTTAAAATACTAGTAATTAAAAAGCTCCGTCAAATACAGCGTTAGTCACCTTCACGGATTTCTTGGCGTACTTATCCAAGGCTGTGCCTTGGGACTTGAAGATCTTCACATTGGCTTTCAACAAGTCCTTCCGCTCCATGCCCTCCCGTCGTGGCATGGACCCCACCAGAACGGCCACATCCAGGTCTTTGAAGGCCACTTCCTCCTTATCCGTTGCAATGATATCTATGAAAATGGCAAAACATGAGTGTGAAGCTGGATTTTTCCTATTGACTCTACCTATCAGGAAGTCATTCACTCTGTAACAAAAGCTTACCTTTACATACAAACTTGCAAAAGGTGTTTTGAATCCACCAGCTACTCTTTGGGAGAAAGACTGGTAGCTTCCCTCCTCCCATCAACACAGACTCAGAAACTTGATGGACAGTTGCTCTGAATAGAAATCGGTATGATGGGCAACAAGCAAGGCTTGAGTATTTATCTTAGCTATTAACAATCACAGCACTGGCAGAAGTGCTAAGGAACTGAGTTTGCTTTTTTACTTCAAGAATTGCGCCAAATAAAAAATTCTAGAGCTGTTATCTTTTCTAATCATATAGAAACCAAGGCATAGGATGATAATGTTTAAAAACAATGCTAATTACCTATATTAATCACAACAGATAATTCTCTAAAGGTCACTATCAGTAACAAAAATAAGAGTTTATTAAGGAGTTCTGTGGCAGAAATAACGCTAAGGTTTATATGCTGTTGTTGTTATGTGCCGTTGAGTCATCTGTGACTCATAGCAACCCTATGTACAACAGCCCTAAACTCTACTCTGTCCTGTGGCAATCTCACTGTCTCCAACAACCCTGCTCCCATTACCCCAGTCACTGAATCAATCCACCTCATCGAGGGTCTTCCTCTCCTGCACTGTCCCCTCCACCCTCCCAAGCATGACGTCTTTCTCTAAGAACTGGTCCCTCCTTGCAACATGTCCAAAGTATGCCAGACGAAACTTCAGAATCCTTGCCTCTAAGGAGCAGCCTGGATTAACCCTTTCCAGGTTGAACCTGTTCATTTTCTTAGCAGTCCATGATATATTCAATACTCTTCTCCAACACCACACACAGCTCAAAGGCATCAATTCTCCTTCTATCCTCCCTAGTCATAGTCCAGCTCTCTGATGCATCTACAGGAAGCATCGTCCTCACTTGGGAAACATTACCGCTAAACTCAAGAGACACTGGCTACTGCATAAGAAATTGTCAGCAGCTGAAGTGTTTGGAATCACAGAAGCCCATAAAAGCTTGAGATATAAGCTATCAGATCAAGGGCTGGACAACGGGAGATAGGTAGGAGTAGAAGGGGATACTTGTAGATTGTGGAGCAGGGAATAAGTGGGTCAAGACACTTGTGTCAAAGGCAGGGACAACACTGAAACTATTCGTTAATTCCAAATTAGGGAAATATCTTTCATCTGCTTTTTTCCATAAAATGTTTGTCTGTCAGATACTTCTCTAAATCTGAGCATTCAGATTAAGACAGACTAAGAGGAAGGATTGGCCATCCAATTCCGAAATAGCAGGCCTCTGAAAACCCAATGTACAACAGAACACATAGGGTTTATATGCATTATCAAATATAATCTTTGTATTTTACTGATGAAGACATTATTAACTTGTTTATTTCTATAAAGAAATTATTAGCTAGTTGTATTTAAAAGGGAATGGAGCTGTTAAGAATGGCTCAGGCTAGTGTAGCGTTCAAACGCTTTGCAAAAATGTTTAGTTCACTAACCATATACCACTTGTCTTTGAATTAAAGGATGCACATTATTTTTCTCTGCAAATCCTAAAATGGTTATCAGTTGTTGGATTCAGCTTTCAGTGATGAACTTTTTCGTCAGTGAATGCACCACAGTCAGGCTGCCATCAAGCCAGACCCAGGGCACAGATAGGAACACACCAGAAAGAGGGACAAACAGCCCATTCCTCCTCCTGCCATCCGTTTCCACCTGCTTACTCTTCCCTTCCTTGTATCTGCAGCGGTCTCAGGACAAGCCAAGTGCAGCCTGGGCTCCGTGGAGAGCAGAGAGAACTCAGCAGAGAGGGGAACAAATGTGAGAGGCTGCTGAGAAAGCAGTGGCGAGGAAAAGGGTAGAGCAGGGCGGTCTGACAGAGTCACGTATTCATGCTCTTCTGAGACCATGCAACTGAATGCTTTAGATGGTACAAGATCCCTCTGAACGTTTACAGAACGTATGGATTCTGAGGATGGTTTCTTTTGGGGTGTAAATGTATTTTGCTTTAGGTAAAATTCCAAGACTATATTATTAAATGAAGTTTATTAAGGGAAACAGCTACCAAGAAGGCATCAACGCTTTGCTGGCCGGTCAGAACAGACTCGTCGCTGACTCTCCACTGGGTGTCAGAGGCTGTAAATCACAAGGGAGGAAACTGCTTGCCTTTCTCCTGTGGGCCGCTGGTGGGTTAGAAGTGCAACTCCCCGCACTAGCCGAGGACAAAGGTGTGACTAACAAGAAAGATTTCTAACTTTTACAACTTTCACCTTAGGCTCGTTAACAGAGTTCAAGGATTCTCAAAGGAGCTCTGTAAAACTCTGGGGAGGTTTATTTCAAACTAAGACGTATATGATTCGGATTTTCTATTTCTTCTCAACTTGGGATGGACTACAAAGGAGAAGCCAATCCTTTTTCAGCTTCAGGACAGTGCATGGGTACTACCTAGAATTCAGTTTTCCACTGCAGGATGGTACTGTTCACATAATTTATGCATGGGGCCAAGAGAGACCAGTCCTTGAAGAGGGACGTCATGCACAGAAACATGGAGGGACAGCTCAAGAGAGGAAGACCCTGGATGAGATGGATTGACTCAGTGACTGGGATAAACAGGGTAGGTGTGAATAAAATGGGGGTAGGTGATAATAAAATTGGCTCCGGATACAGCATGGTTCAGAGCTGTTGTACGCAGGGTTCCCATGAGTTGCAAGCAACTCCAGGACACGTAACAACAGCTGTTACCATGTGAAAAAATATTAAGTGACATCACAACGTAGAGTGTCAGATGAAGAACTCCAGTGTAGTTTCACTTTAATTAGCCTAATGAAAACACATAAGAAAGTGTTTTTTAAAAATAGTTGTTTAGTCTGAAACTGGTTAATAGACTTTTTTATTTTTCTCTTTACCTGTTTGGTTTTTATTTTAATTGACTACACAAAGGTACTCAACTGTGTGGATCCTAACAAATTAATAAAATTGTAAAGAATGGGAATTCTGCAATACTTAATTGTGCTCACGCAGAGGCTGTGTACACAGACCAAGGGGCCGTCAATCAAGTAGAAAATGGGGATCCAACATAGTTTAAAATAGGAAAAGTGTGTGTCAAGGTTGGTTAGCTGACTTTTATCCTTATTTATTTTTGGTGCATAGCTTACCAAGTAGGGAACTCCGGTGGCCTGGGGTTAAGGAGTTGTGTAGCAAACTCAAAGGCACGCAATTACAATCTACCAGTTGATCTGCAGGAGAAAGATGGACAATCCTCTCCCTTGCAATTTACAGCCTCTGAAAACCCGCTAGAGGGTGAACTATGAGTCGGTTCCCCGACTCAATGGCACAAAACAACGTACCTTCTTACCAAGATGTTATGTCAATTAAATAGAAATTAAAGAAAAATTATTTTATGAAATACCCAATTCAAGGGCTAACAACTCTAGCTCTGGTGATTCATACCTACTTAGGTAAATACCCCTAGGGAGCGCTGGTGGCATAGTTGGTAAGAAGCTGTGCTGCCAACCCAAAGGTAGAGAGTTCAAATCCATCAGTTGTGGGTAATCTCTCCCACTATTTACAGTCTCTGAAAACCTACTGGAGGGTCAGTTAGGCATTGGTTCTGACTCAATGGCAAACAACAACAATAATTATGAAAACCTATCATTTGAAGGATGTGAAAAATACTTTAAAATCCCTCTTCCTCCCCTTTCTACAACTCACCTTTCAGGAGGGGGAGGGCACAGTCTTGCAGCTCCATGACAACGCCCTCCAGGACACCCATCATGGGGGTGATGTCCAACAGCACAAGAATAAGGGGCTGCCAAAGTCAAGGTCAGTAATCTGTTAGTTCAGGCAATAGCTCTGGGCCACCTAAGAAGTCCCTTTCCACAATTTCTGTTTACAGTGTAGGCTATTATCAGGAAAATGAATGCTGGGAAACCAGTAATGGTCTGTGAACAGATAGTGTGAGAAAGGTTATCCACACTGAAATTTTAAAGAGGATGTGTGGGGAGTGGCCAGCAAAATCCCCAACCTGAAGCCACACACTTTAGCTTGCATTTCTTGCTAAGAGCTGCATATTTGATTTCAGTTCAGGGAGAGCTAAGAACAGTACCTGGAATACAGGACGAGCTCAGTATCCATAGGCCAAGTGAAGGAACAGACAATACATTTTAGGGTACACCAATCGGATCTGCTGGAATTGAGGAGTGCCTGTTTGCAACTAGGAAGCTGATCTGCCTGCCCTACTATGTGGGGCCTCAAGAAACTGGTGATACAGTAACTTTCTGTCTCACTAAACTCTCCTTAAGCTCCTCTCACCAGTGGACACTCCTTTCTGACACCTGTGGGTTGCACCAACTAGAATACGTGGAACAGTTCTGATTTGCTAAGTGGCTTTGAGGCCCTGAGAGGTACACACACTTTACCAGCTTCCACATAGAGCAATCCTCCTATTACATTTATTGGGATTACCCATTCCATCTCAGCTTTAGAATTAGTTAGAAATGAAATGCAGGGCTTTATGCATGACATTCTGACTCTAGTAACATAGCACTTACAAACAGTTGCTCCTACCTGGTCTTTCCCGAAGATAGCGCCATTGCCAATACTGTACAGCAGTGAATAGGCAATCTGACCAGCCGCCCCCGTCACAAGGACCCTGATTGGTTCAGACTGAAAAGAAAAGGACCTGTTAGTGTTTCACCAAAAAGGAAAAGAAATGCGATCACGGAGATCGCATGTGTGGCAGAGCAGATCTGCGTTCTACAGGGTGTCCAATGGTTGATTTAAAACAAAAAAAAAAAAGAGGCAGGTCTTTCTTATCTCTGGGCGACTCTGAACTGCCAACCTTCTGGTTAGGAGCTGGGTTGAGTACCTCCCCCAAGGGACTTACCAAGGAAGATGGTTGGGATTTTCTCTGTTGACAAGACCCAGTACTTTGAAATCTTTTCAGGAGCTGGCCCAGTAGAAGGCTGACTGACTGATTTAGGGTTTACAACATAAGGCACAAAGCAACATAACAACTTCTTGTAGAACATGTATTATTCAGCTGCCTATTTGTGTGGTGCTATTAAAGGCTCACAGGAAGCTAAAAGTGTTATCCTGGATTACATAATCTCGCCCACATTTTTTAGGGATATTTTACACTAACATAAGCCCAAGGGTGTTGTTGTGCATTAAGGTGATGACATGGCTTTGCAGAAAGCAAACTCTGGTGGCCTCTAGAGTCTCCGAGATCCCATTAGGCCAATCTTCCCCCGTCCCTTCAAATGCTCAATGGAATCCTTCACACCAGGAAGAGGACTAACCGTGCTATTCATGTGCACTCAGCCACATGTTTGAAAATTAACTAATCATGCTTCAACTTAAATACTTTATGTTGGATAATTAGGTGCCAACAAGTACAATTCATGACATCGCTATGAACAACAGATCTGACCCCTGTCCTGTCCTGTGCCACCCTCATCATCTCTGACACACTCGAGCCCACAGCTGCAGTCACTCTGTCGCTCCATCTGAGGCTGGGGGCTGTCTTCATTTCCTTGCTGGCCCTCCATCTTTCCCAAGCATGATGCCCCTCGCTAAGGAAGAACCTCTCCTAGCAACTAGCCCAAAGTACGCGAGATGAAGTGTTGTCTCTGCCTCCAAGGAGCTACACTTTCTCAAAGACATACCTGTTTGTTCTTTTGGCCAGATAACAACATCTGATAAATAGGGCAGTTTCACAAAGACAAACTATTCCCACTGAGATCATAAACAAAGGGATTGTTGTTGTTGATTGCCATCGAGTCAAGCAGGACTCAAAGTAACCCTATGGACAAAAGACCTGAAGTCTTTCTATGACTATCGTCACTTCTCGAAGTTCATAGAGTTTCCAAAGACATGCGGTTTAGGATGCCACTCCAAACAAAGGGGCAGGTCTTATAATATCCATCATTAAGGGACACAGCTCAATCTGTTGCTCTCAGGTGCCTGAGAGTCAACTATGACTGACAGTGACCCTATGAACAACAGGCCTGAAACTTGTCCTACCCTGAGCCACCATCTCCGACCTGCTGGAGCTCACAGCTACTGTCACCGTATCCACCTACCTTGTTGAGGGTTTTCTTCCTCTGACCTTCCACCTTTTCCAGCATGATGCCTTTTTCTAAGCTCTGGCCTCTGAAAACAGGACCTATCATGTAGCATATGCTATTATTATGGGTCTCTGTTAACATATTTTTCTCAATGGACTCATACATCCTGAGGTCTTCTTCTTGTTGTTGTTGTGTGCTATTGAGTCCGAACCGGTCCACAGCTGACCCTCCAGCAGGTTTTCAGAAGCAAGTGACTGCATGGGAGAAGACTGTTCCTCTTTCTCCTGGGGAGCAGCTGGTGGACCGGAACCGCATGCCTTCAGGTTTGCAGTGCCGCTTCTTACCATTAAGCCACTAGAGTTCCCTGAGATTTTCTTGATATGTGTCTGTTATTTTCTTCTAGACTGTGGAACTCTCTTGAAGACAGTCCAGCTTTGACATCAATTGTACTTGGGTAAAATACGTACTTCCACATAAAGCTCAAAATAATAACAAAACCCACCACTATCAATTCGAACACAGAACAACTTTGACTGGGTTTCTAGGCTGTCCATCTTTATGGAGGGAGCTCTGATGGCCCAGAGGCAAAAATACCTCTTTTTTTTTTCCTTTGCTAAAATGATTAGGATAGAATCCATTGAAACTATTATGGAAACGACTCTGTTATCTGATAACAACACATAAAACTAAGATTAACAGTTACTGGGAATTAATAACTGTCTCAAGTAGCACCTTGCAAAGATAGAAGCAGCCATGTCCTTGAACTGAAAGTAGAGCCTTCAGGTTCTGGAAAATTTTCAATTCAAACATTTCCCCCCACACTTCCCATCCACTTTAGCATTTTGAGATAATATTTTAAAGAAGAAAAACCGTTTGTTATACTTAAATATAGTGAAGTAGTTTCTCCCAGTCTGATGTCAAATGTCACCTTCAAATCTACGCAGATAATTCCTACTACCTCTGGAAATCTGTTTCGACTCAAAGGTACACAACAACAACAACAACAACAACATCTTTATGGGAGGAGGTGGCCCATCTTTTTGCCCTGGAGCAGGTGGTAGATTTGAACCGCTGACCGATCAGTTAACAGCACTACATGTAACATGCTATGTCATGGAGTTCCTTACATCTCCACGCTGTGTTCAACAAGTAGTTGTCAAATGAATGATGGTCAAGGTGAGGGAAGCAAGGAAAACAAAACAAAAACCCTCAGCCATCCTAAACACAGGCTACTTCAATGAAAAGCAAACTTGGGTAAATAAGGACACAAAGTGACTGTCATTATTATAGGGCTTGACCTCCCAGGGGGAGGGAGACAGACAAATAGGGAAGATCAGGTCAACTGTTGCTGTGTGCTGTCAAGGCAGAAGCAACCCATGGCTGATCCTCCAGTGGGTTTTCAGAGGCAGTGATGCACAGGAGGAGATTGCCCAGCATTCTCCCAAAGAACAGCTTGTGGATTTGAACCATGTGCCTTTGCGACTGCAGCACAGCTTCTTACCACTAGGCCACCAGAGCTCCTATTTAGTCAACTTTAGTTACTAAAAAAAGAAACTGTGAAGTAGCAAAGTCCTTATTGAAGGGGTTGTGGCAAGCTGAGGAACAACTACTAATCGCGTCTCAGTTTCTGTTATCTTTGACAAATGATTTTCACAGGTAGGTGATTCCATTTTCTTAAGAGTAGTATGAAGTTTGATTACCGTCTGGGTGTTTAATATCAAAATAGGGAAAAGAAGAGTCCAATTTAGCTCTTTCAGCTCTTTTGCAACTGCCATTCAAAAGCAAGAGGGTGGGAGAGTCCCACTGACTCTTCACAATGTTACAGCGAGGAACACAGGTTACTATTCTTTGCTCAGATATCCGGGCAGCTTGCCAAGACCCAAAGAAGGAATGTCTTTGCTCTTGGCAGGGCACTAATGACCTTCCCTGTAAATGCAGGGTCTGTCTTGCACATGTGCCAAAGCCCTAAGTCCCTGTGATAAAGCTCAAGCCCAAAAAAGCTTGTTAGGTTTTTCCACAGCAAGACTCAAGACATATTTCCCCTGCAAAACTTTCTAATAATATTTCTCTAATATGAAGAACAAGCAGCATCACTTGGATTCTTCTGTTCATTACTGTTATCATTCCTTATGGACACAAGACAACTCTAAATAGGTTTACAAAAGCTAGCTCTTCTCAAACTTAGTGATTGTTCACACTCTATCCTACCTGGCGGGGGAGAGAGGGAGGGGGGAGAGAGAGAGAGAGAGAGAGAAAATATCACGTGAGAGTCAGCTGTCCGTTTTAGCCAATTGAGAGGAGGAATCTTCCTCTTGCAGTGTCCAGTTATCTGGCACCCAGGTGACCTTCCTAGCCTGATCTTCCGGCAGCACAAACAACACAGGAATTGGGGTGCTCAGGACCGCTGTGACCTTGAGAAAACCATCTGACCTCACCAGACTACAACGTAGGGTTAGATTAAATAATCTTCAAATTCTCTTCTAATTCTAGAATTTAGGTATTTTACATTGCAAGGAGTAAAATTAGCAGGTAATATACATGTTGATAATGAAGCTTATTTTTCATTTGTAGTCTGAGTTTGATTTTTCATTAGGAACTTCAGTTACTAAAAATACAGTGGATTTTCTGAATGATTTGGTAAGTGTTTGTATGAGACAATATTGAAAACTGGAAAAATATGAAACCCTTGGGGCAAACTGTTGTGCAACCTTGAGCAAATCACATCCTCTCTAGGTCTTAACAAGTGCAATTTTAAGATTTGTGGTGGGGAAGGTTTCCAAGATAATTTTTAAAGGTCCCATCTGGTGCTGAAATGATAGGTTTTCTGATAACAAATACCTCTTTTTTTGGATGCTAAAATGATTAGGATAGAACCCACTGAACCCATTATTTCAATGCCTCTGTTATCTGACAACAACACACAAAACTAAGATTAACAGTTACTGGGAATTAATAACTGTCTCAATTAGCACCTTGTAAAGATAGAAGCAGCCATGCCTTTGAAATGAAAACAAGGCCTTCAGGTTCCGGAAAATTTTCAATTCATTCAAACATTTCCCTCCACACTCTCCATCCACTTTAGCATTTTGAGATAATATTTTAAAGAAAAAGTTTGTTATAATTAAACATAATGAAGTAATTTCTCCTAGTGTGACGTCAAATGTCACCTTCAAGTATACGCAGAACATTCCTACGCCAGTCACTTTACCAACCCCCTTCTTCCTTTCAACAGCGGCAAGATATGGAAATTTTGGCATTCAGATTTTACAGTGGCCAAGATGGTTACAATGTATTACCCTTGAAACCAGGGCTCCTGGAATTCATGATTTACAGGTTAGTAAATACACACCAGATATTTGGCTAGTGATGTAGTAGCTGCAACAAATCCTGGCATTTGAAAAGAAGATCAAGGAACAGGTTTTAAATGACATTTTGTGAAATTAGATATGGCGGAAACACATCCTCCAAACGTAGATCGTTATCTAGAGCACGAGGTGAGCCCAGTCTTTACAGTCCAAGGTCTTCTGCTTTCAAGGACTCTGCGACAAAAGTCCTTAAAACACTGGAGGGCTAAGAAGGGGGAAAGGGAGATGAGACCCTGACCTCTCCTGTTCCCAGTATCAAGGTTGAGGTGCTTGGAGGAAATCTGCCGTTTCTTATTTCATCCCCTGCCATGCAGCAACATCGAGATCAAATTTCAAGCACAACAATGCCTCCAGAATCCTTCTAAATATCCCCAAGGTTGTAATCAAGCCTTGAAATTACTACGGCAGTCCCTAGTAATTGCGACAGTCCCCGGAGGATGAGCCAGAGCTCCAAGGATCTGCTCCAAAGGTCTCGATTCGCCCAGCCGCCTTGCAAAAGCCCTTCAAATGCAAGAAATTCCACTAAATAGTGGGAGCCTGGAAAGTGGGCAGGAGCCAGAGGCCCGTACTCACCATGACTGGGAATTGCGCGGACAATTTCAGCAACTGCACAACCAACCTCCGGGAGTCAGGTCACCTCTACCACGGAACCGAGTCGGAGGAGTGTGAGCGGTGTAAGCGAGAAAAGTCTCGGCTCCCGACCGCACTGCCCTCTGGGAATTGTAGTTTACGCTGCTCCAGTTCTGGCACAAACTCCGAGATACTTCCTTCCCGAGAAAACTACACTTCCCGAGATCCCAGAGTCTTTTCACGCCCTTCTCCCTGCGCTGGTCATCTACTGCAAAAAAGTCCCTCAGAGAAGTCGCTGATTGGAGGACGGTGACAAGCGGATGATTCGGTCTAAAGAGAGGTCTTTACGAATCAGTCAAGCAGTTGTCGAGATTCGAGGCCTGTGTAAATCGAGGGAGGAGAAATAGATCAGAAATAGATTCTAGTGCACAATTGAGGCTTTATTGTTCTTCTGTACAGTGGAGTTGGAACAAACCCATATCTGACCTTTTGGTGGGTTTACTCAGAGGTACTTTAATTACACGGGAAGAGATTACCGTGGAGCTGCTAGTGGGTGTGAACCACGTGCCTTCAGGATAGCAGCGCAGGTTCTTCCCAGTAGGCCACTAGAGCTCCTTAATTGAGGCTTTCAGCTCCCTTAATGTAATAGGCTTCCAGATGACTGGCTAGATCGCGGGTTTTCGGAAGCTGTAAATTGGAGGAGAGTGACTATCTTTCTCTCGTGGAGCTCCTGGTGGGTCCGAACCGCCAGAAAGATGCTGCTTTTGGAGAAGCAGCGCAACTCTGTACACACTCACCCGCCAAATCTACCTGATTGCTGCCCCCCCCTTTTTTTTTTTTAGGATGAGAGCAAATATGTGGGTTAAAGGGACTTCCGCTGCGCAAAGTGCACTTGACCCGGAAACATTTTTGTTTTTTTGGAGGGGCGGGAGAATTGACGTGTAGGACAGGCTTGTCGGCTTCGCCGGTTGCTAAGCGACGCGGCCGTGGCGCACGCACCGGGGCGAGGCCCCTGCGCGCCGGGACCGTGTGCGCGGGAACTGTGTGCAGGGGCAGCGCTCGCTCGGAAGACGAGAAGGACCCGCGAGCTCACTGCACCCTCCGGGGTCCTGCTGTCTCTCCACTGGGCATCCCCGGCTCGGACAGCGTCCTGCTCAGGACAGCGTCCGGAGACGACGCCCGGGGGCTGTACTCGCTGCCTTTGGAGATAGGTGAGCGATGGTCCGCGCAGACGGACCAGGTTTCTTCTTCACTTGAAGGAGTGTGAGGGCGGTCGGGGTCCTTGCTGAACTGGGGGATCCCTTCTCAGTGTGGAGGGCCAGGGGGCGCGCAGATGCCTGCAGGAATTCACAGTGGCATGGATGGAACTTTTTTCTCTAAGTCATACTCCGTGAGTATTGACATTTTATCCATCTTTAGGATATTGGATACCGACCTTTAAGTTATGACAAGCTTGTATTTGCCATAGGTAGACTAAGTGGTAAGAAGCTGCGCTGCCATCTCAAAGGCACGGAGTTCAAATCCACCAGTTGCTCCGCAGGGAGGTCTCTTCCTGTGTGATTTACTCTGAAAATTCACTAGAGCTGTGGGTAGGTTCCGACTTGATGACATACATCAATAAAGAGGGAAAGCGTTACAAAACTCCCGTGGCTGAATCCCCATAGAGGTTGTGCTGCAAACCAAAAGGTCATTGCGCTCTGGCTGTTCGAATCCACCAGCAGCCTCCTTCCATTACATTTACAGGCTCGGAAACCCAGTGGAGAGTCAGCTTCAGACTGAGTTGATTCAGACTCAGTGGAGGTGAGTTGAGTTGAGGGAAAGCGTGAATAGGAGACATTGGTTGTTAAGGTTAGTTGGTAAAATAAACTCCAAACCTTTAGGGTGTTTTCTTTTAAAATGAAAAGAGTTGCTGTGGTGGGTGGAATTTTGTTTCATGGGAATATTGGGAAGATGTAATACCTGTAATTAAAATGCATGTACGGAACTTGTACTTGGGCAATATGCATATATGGAACTTGTAATTTTCAAATCAGGAAAAGTGTGGGTCAGGGCTGTATCCTTTCAATGTACTTATTCAATCTTTATGCAAATAATGCTAGAAACTGGAATGTGCAAAGAAGGATGTGGCATTAAGTTTGGGTGAAGACTCAATAAGCTGTAATATACAAGGTGATACACCCTTGCTTACTGGGAGTGAAGAGCGTTGACAAGATCAGAGACTATGTCTTCAGCATGAGTTGCACTTCAACATAAAGAAAACAGAAGTCCTCACCGGTGGGTAAATTAGCAACATCATGCTATGTAGAAATAAGATTGGCATCAAGGATTTCATTTTACTTTGATCTACTATCAGTACCCATGGAAAACAGCCATCAATAAACTAAATGACATGTTGCATTGAGCAAATCTACTGCCGAGGGCCTCTTCAAAGTTTTAAAGAGCAAGGTTAAGATGTGTCTGATCCAAGCCATGGTATTTTAATTGTTTCCTATATATAAGACAATTAGACAATGAAGAAGAATTGATGCTTTTGACATACTGTGCTGGTGAAGGTTATTGAGTACACCATTGACTACAAAAGAACAAGCAAATTTGTGTTGTATAAACTTTATTCCGAGTGCTCCTTAGAAGCATGGATGCTGTGACTCTTGTCATATACTTTGACCGTGATCAGAGGGACCATGAGGGTCAGAGAAAGAGGACGACCCTCAACAAGATGGATTGGCACAGTGGTAGTACCAGTGGGCTTGAGAATATAAAATTGTGAGGATGACATGGGATAGGTCAAGGTTCAAATCTGTTGTTTAGAGGTCTGCTATGAGCCATAATCACAGCCACAACAGTAAGAGTGGCTAGTGTCGAGCAATGATGTCAGTCTAGAAACTAAGGTGTGCCTGATCCAGGCCTTAGACTTTGCAGTTATTTGCTGTGCATCAGAAAGCTGGACATTGACTAAAGATAACCAGAAGAATTGATCCTTTGAGTTGTGGTGCTTGAGAAAAATATTGACTATACCAAGGACTGCTGAGAGAACAAACAAGTCTGTCCTGTTGTTATTGTTGTTGTTGTTATGTGCCGTCAAGTTGCTTGCAACTCATAGTGACCCTTTGTACAACAGCCCTAAACCCTGCTCTGTCCTGTGCCAATTGCACTGTCTCTGATACACCCATCCCGATTACCCCAGTCACTGAATCAATCCATCTCATAGGGGGCCTTCCCCTCCTGCACTGTCCCTCCACCCTACCAAGCATGATGTCCCTCTCCAAGGACCGGTCCCTCCTTACAACACGTCCAAAGTATGTTAGATGGAGCCTCAGAATCCTTGCCTCCAAGGAGGCACTCGGTTTAACCCTTTCCAGGATGAATCTGTTTGTTTTCCTAGCAGTCCATGGTACCCTCAATACTCTTCTCCAGTAACAACAGCACAAAAGCATCAATTCTCCTTCTATCCTCCTTAGTCATTGTCCAACTCTCTGATGCATAACAAGTGATAGCAAAGACCATAGCCTGTATCAGACACACCTTAGTCTCCAGAGAGACACCATTACTCTTCAGTACTTTGGAGAGGTCCTAACATCTGGAGAAGCTCAATATCACCTGTGAAAACTAGGCCAGGAACTGATTGTGGTACAGACCACCAACTACTCATATGCAGGTTCAAGCTGAAGCTGAGGAAAATTAAACCAAATCCACGAGAACCAAAATATGACTTTTAGTCTATCCCACCTGAATTTCAGAACCATCTCAGGAACAGGTTTGAGGCCTTGAACACTAATGACCAGATTAGTTGTGGGAGGATATCAAGGGTATCATCCAGGAAGAGTGCAGACGGTCATTGCAAAGACAGAAGAGGAACAGAAGAGGAAGTCTGTCCTAGAGAAGGTGAAATGAGGCTCCTTCTTGGAGGCAAGGATTTTGAAGAGCCATCTGACATACGTTAGTCATGTTTCCAGGAGGAACCAGTCCTTAGAGATGGACAACATGCTCGGAAGGGTGGAGAGGCAGTGCAGGAAAGAAAGACCTCAGATGAGATGGATTGACTCAGTGACTGGAGCAATGGGGGTAGGTGTGTCAGAGACAATGAAGTTGGCTCAAGATAGAGCAGGGTTGAAACCTGTTGTACACAAGGTCGCTGAGTCACAGGTGACTCAACCACACACAACAGCAACAGTGTCTGGAGAAGAGAGCCAGAGAAAGAGAAGACCCTTTAGTGAGATGAATTGACTCAGTGACTCGGACAATGGGCTTAAAGCACAGATTGGGGGGCTGTCCCAGAATGTTGGGGTCCCATTCATTGAATCACACATGACTTGACACCTAACAGCAGCAATGAACTGAATAAAACATAGTATTTTTTTATAACATTGATATGAATTCTACCTTTTCTCTGTCATTGGTCAATGACTGGTAAGTAAAACTTTTCACTCCCTGCTTCCCTTTTCAGGGGAGAATTTGCTATTGTGAGAAAGAAGGACTTCTTTCCTACTTGATCTATTGATAGCATTTGTCATAATTGAGTTTGGACTTAGACAAAAATATCGTGGTAAATATATAGAACATAGTTTGCATTTGAACAATTTTTATGAGTGATCAGTCAGTGACATTAATGATTTTTACCGTATTTGCTGCTGTTACCACTATCCATTTCCAAAAATTCTATATTACCCCTAACTGAATAATGCATCCTTTCAGCAGTTACTCTTATTCTCCTCCTCCCATCCGCCTCTGGCAATCACTAGAGTTTCCATACAATTACCCAATCTAGATAATTCATTTAAGTAGAATATTACAGTATTTACCCTTTTGTTTTTATGATAATTTTTTGAGCGGGATGCTTTCAGGGTTCATCCATTTCATAACATGTATCAGAACTTAATTTCTCTTTGTGGCTGGATACCATTCTGTTGTTATTTATTCATTTACCTGTTGATGGGCATCTGAATTGCTTCCATACTGTGGCGTATTGTTAACAACAGGACTGTGAACATTGTACAGATATCTGTGAGTTCCTGTGTTTAAGTCCTTTGGTTGAGAGTCATGTGGAATATTTGGTTATTTTGTATTTAAACCTTTTCTTTAGA